TCTATTATGCAGAGCAGCTTCTCCACTAAGTCTTGGCCCCAGCCAATACTCAAGCACGCTACAGGCACATAACCTCTATGCTAAATAACTATCAAAGCATTTTTTCTAAATAGCAGTTATTCTGTAAGAGACATTACATTGCCAGCATTAAAGACAACATGAATTTCTTTATCTCTTCTCATGCAAGTCCTCTACACTATCAGCCACATTCTAAAATTTTTATATACAATGGATATTATCTGTGAAATAATTCTGCTTGAACAACACAACACAGTATTCCCGAACTCAGTATTTCAACATTCAAGGTAAAATAACTACAGGACAGGGTCCTTCCTGTGGCACAGCGGATTAAAGCACAGCACTATGAAGCTAGAGCCACTTCAGGATGAGTTTGATCCCCACCCCAAGAGGTGACCACATGGCGTGGCAGACCTCTCCTGACACAACGGCTGCTCCCCCCAGCAGTGTACTTTGTCAGTAGGCCTGTTCTGCTCCCCATTCTGTCTCTGGTGAAGCCTCTCACCCCGCTGCACCTCTGGCCTGTACCCCAGTTCTGTAGGCATAAATATTAAAAAATAAATAACTACAGGACACTGTGTTAAACTTGTGTTTACAAAGGTTTATTTGTTACAAAATGTTAAATACTAAAGCTAAAAACATATAAATTCAGATCAGGCTATATTAAAATACACACATACCCTTCTTTGCAAAATTATTAAGAGAGGCTGAATTAAACAGATGCTTTAAATAAAATAAAGTACTCTTGAGGCTATTTTGTCTAATTAACTATCAGTGTAATGTAGTTTTTAAATTATAGATGAAAAGGCTAGCTGTCTTGGAAGTCAATTTATTCAATTCTTCAGTTTTCTGCTACCTCCCAATATAAAGCCATCATGCTGGCTTGGATAGGGTAAATTTCAGTTATGTTAAAACTTCTACATTACAAGTCTAGTATCCTAGAATAAGAACACAGCATAGTCAGAGGTACACAAGGGTTTATATAAGGTGAAAATCTGGCCTGGAAAGAAAAGGCCTTAACTCTACCATCCATTATTTCCTCTATAATTAAATGATTGGTAAATACAAGGAAGCAGGTATCAGCATAAAGCATACATTCATCTAGAAATAATCTTTCAATTAAAAAAACTCAAAAAGACCACTCATTTTGCAAAGATAGTTTATAAGTATTTTTTAAATTTCTTTTTATTTGAAGTTGAGTGAATTCAAAGGTACTGAAGAGTTTAGGTTTAAAAACTAATTTGATAACTGTTGTGACCAGCTCAGGAGAACCAGAGCATCTACCTCTCAAGGCTGTCTCTCTCACAGGCGCCAATGAACGTTTGTGAAAACTGCATGCTTGATATCAACAGGGCAGCCGCCAAACCAACCTCTACTCAGACACCTACAAATGATCTACAGTCTATTCCAACGTTATATCGTATTTGCAAGAAAACACTTTGTCTTGCTGTAAAACTTGCTGTAAAACTTACACTTTTCAACATTCTAGATCAACAGTTACTGATTGAGAACTTCAAGTGTTGTGACTCACATCAGGGTAAGGAAGTATGTGCTTATGAAGAACAAAAGACAATCATTACATTTTAGAAGTTCTTATATGTGAATGAGTTTTTAGACACAGACAACAGCTCTATACTTTACAGTGCTAACCCTTGTCCATGGATTTGTCGATAGCTGATTAACTCAAAGGATTAAAATACAAACACATAAAATGCATTCCCATGATCTTCTTCAACACCACTCAGTTAAAATCAGGTTTCTTGGGAAATTTATGTAGGGAATTTTTAACTGTTTTACTCTAAGGGTGTTGGTATACATCTAAAGACTGCATGTAGGATTACATGCAATGTAATCTTTGTTTTTACATGCTATGTAATCTTAATACTACAGTATAGAATTGTTTAATCATACCTTTGAATGGTTGAAAAAGTTAGGTGTATTCTAAATTCATGGGAAATTAAAAAAATATGTATTTCAATAATGAATTAATTATAGGTGAAGATGATACTAACAATAAATAGTAATCTGGTTTTCTATCCCTCAGTTTAGGCTTATGATGTAATTTTCTCTGTTGACTTGTAATACAAAGGAAACTATATTCTGTCTTCTATCTTCTCTACATGTAACAAGTGTCGGCTTTTTATTCTTTCTTTGAACTTACTGGTTAATCTTGAAGGACAAGATTCCTGTAACCTCTCATCAAATATCCTTGTGATTCTCTGAAAAGAACTCAAACAATTCAACCCACGGAAATCCTAATCTTAGTAAATGCACTAAAGCAAAAGTCGTAAGCCTTCAACGGTGAAGGCTCTCGTAAGCATCTTTCACTCTTTATATAAGCATCTTGACGAGCACCTTTATGAAGGCATATTAAGTCATATTAGTCACTTTTTTTGACATCCTGGTCTTTGAGTAATACCAAGAAAGTATTTGTTCATCTGTGATAAAGCCAGACCATGTTTTAAAGCTAAGACAACATGACACATTTTTCCACTTCCCCGATGAGGTGGCGAGGTGGCAGAGAGGCCACCCCAAGATGGGAAACCCCATTTACACTCTTCCCTCAGGGGCTCCTCCTCTTCCCTTGACAACAGTGCCTCTTTTTGACTTTCAGACAGAATGATGTTTGAGCGAGAAAAGAAAGTACATACCCTGCTAGGTGATATATATATAATTTTGGAGTCCAGCACAAAGTGAAAATATGGAGCTTTTCCCCAAACATTAAGATTTCGAAGCAGCAACAGGAGAGTAGTGGCCAAGCAGGGCCCTTTCCAGAATGGAGCTCCATGGGGCTGCACAGACTATATGGTCATAAAGCAAAGCCCAATTAGGTTTCCTACCTAATCCGAATCTCAGGGAAAAGATACAGGTGGCTCACATGGGTTGTCCAGACGAAACCAGATTATTTTCATTATGGTTCAAACACTGTCACAGCACTGATTTGGGGCCACGTAGCATTTCACTTTCAGAATTCCAGGAAAATTTCTAGTTCTAAAATTTCAGACTGATCAGTCCTTCCCCTGAATTTCTCATTGTAAAAGCAGTCATAATTGGGTCTTTCAAATGCTCCTTACTTTAAAAGAGCCATTAGTCAGATGTCATGAAATTTCTGTATTAATCTTGCATGATTTTTTTCAAAAGTCCACATATTTCTCAATGGGGTGGGCTATTACTATAAAGTAATGGGCATCTTAAAGGGAAAAGTAGCTGCACAACAGCTTTATATACTAGAGTAAAGCCTTAGTTTTAGCCTATAGATGTTCTGTTCCCTTTTAAAATATGAGTCGTTTTTTCAAATAGAACTAACAGACACATTAAGCTGTACATGGATTCCCACCCCCTAACATCCATATTTGTTTCGGTCACAAGAAGTTTTCTGGAACACAGAAGTATCCCAGTCTTCATAAGAATAAAAAAGTGTACGTTTATAAAAGCTCTGGTTACATCACTAAGCAACGACATTTTCGAGAGTGAATATACTTCCTGTATTCCGCAAGCTGCTTCAAGTACATATTCGATGGCCATCTGTGTTTTTCAACAAAACTGCGTTCTTCCACTAAAAGTTTTAGAGAAAGATTGTTAATTAAATATATTTTATTTGGGGCCAATAGATATTGACAATTGATGAGATTCAAGCCATGTACAGCGTCTCAAGTTTTCCAAAATCAGGAATACAATTTTCAGTAAATCAGTTATCGCGATTTGTTATCATGTGATTTCCAATTATATATATCTTGTCTACTGCTTCATCCAAAGTATTTAATTATGCTTTCTTTGTTTATGGAGACTTTTTTTTTCCTGGAGATTATCAGTGACTCATATTTTCATTTCATTTTCTCTGTAGTTTAACTCCACCTTCCAAACTCTTTCCGGCCCCTTCCATTTTCCTTTTCACTGGCCACCATTCCCGGATAACCTGTCCATTCTTGAAGCAGACATGGACAAGTTGGGTTTTCCCTGGAGTCCCTTCCCATCGGTGTCTGGCACCCCTGGATTCCTAGGCCTGTGTCCTGCTTCCAGGCGAGATCCCTCTACTCCTGGACTCCAGGCCTTTCACTTTGGTTATTATTCTCTAGTTTTAGTGAAGCACAACTTTTATATATGAGTTTCCCCCAAAACAGGCTGCCTAAGAAGTATATGATAAAATGTCCTTGGTCTATCCTCACACACATTTCATAATTTGGTTTGGTCTAGAATTCTAGGTTGAAAAATTTCCTCAGAATGTTGAAGCCACCATTTTACTGTTTTCTAGCTCCCAAGGTTAAGAACTCCACTATTACTCAGACTTGCGGTTCTTGGCAGGTGAGCTGTGTGGGTTTGCTATCATGCAAACAGGATTTTTCACTAGGCTGAACACTTCCAGGCCTTTCCAATATGTTGCTCAAGGTACTTTAGGACTGAAGCAGTTCTTTTGAGGGAGTTTCCTTGCCTTTTTCTTATCTTGCAACTTTTATTTAGCTCTTTTTTTTTTTGCATCACATTTCTAACATTTGAGAACAATTTCTTTTATTGCTGCTTATTTAAATAGTGTTAAAATATACATAACAAAATTTACCATCTTAATTCAATTGGATTGATGAGGACATTCATATAGTTGTGCAACAAAGCTCCAGAATGCTTCACTTCTTGAAAACCTAAAATTCTACCTGTTAAAGCAACTCCCTATTCCATTCCCCAAGCTCCTGGAAACCAATGTTCCATTTCCTGTCTCTAATAATATATACTTTAAAAAAACAAACAAGCAAACAAAAAAACCCCCAGCATTCTATGCATTATGGATATAGATCTCTCATTCTTTGGGGATATTACTTTTGGTGGATTTTTATTTTTTTAAGGTTTTCTTTTACTCCTTGGTGTCTCTCTGGTCTTAATTCCTTCTATGAATATGTTTTTATTCATTTTGACTTCAGTTTTGGTATCTATCTTTCATGGTGGACATTAACTCAAATGCCTGTTGATCCTCAGCTATCTCTTCATATTTAAAAGATACTGGAAAGCTGTTTGGAAATCTTTTGAGCATCTGTAGTATCTGCTAACCAGAACAATACATTCAATGTCTGACTGACAGATGTTGGGTTCTTTGAGAAAATTCCTAAATGATTGTGTCTGGGTATTTTTCCCTCTGAGGAGGATGACTCAATTTTATGCCCAGAGTACGGGAATTGAGGTAGCAAATACCTGGTTGCTGAAATTCTAAGTCCTAGAGTTGTGAAGGAGACATGAGGCATGTTGTACAAAATGCCCACATTCTGTGTTTTCAGTACAGCTCCTTAGCCCTCTCACTAATACCTGTAGTCCATGATCTAGAACTTTTCCCCTCAGGAATAGACTTTCCAACTGCTATGATAATGAGGGAGAAACAGTTTCCTGAAGTGTAGAGTGAAGTATAACAAAACTCCTTAATCAATTCTAAATTAATTCCATTTTGTTTTGCTCTAAACTTTTGCTTTCTGAGATACCTCAAGTTTCTAAATCTTTTGGGGGTTCTGCTGGGTGAACCAGCTTGTTTATCATTACAGTATTCCCTCTGCAGACAGTTAAAATCATTCTGCTAAGTCAATTTCTACTTTCCAACTACTGTTTGAGCTCATTATAATTCAGATTCATAAAGTCTTGATTCAGGCTGTGAAACCTAGCTATAAAGAAACAACTTTACTATTCAGGGATATCAGTTCTAGGTTTCCTAGGAAGCAAAGATGACATAAGATTACTCTCTCAACTAAGATTAAAAAAAAAAAAAAGCAAAACATAAAAGTTATCACAACAAATTCTGGCAGCTAGCAATAAACATTTTAAAAATTCTATAAATGTATATATAAGATTGAGTTAAACATGAGAATAATGAATCCATAAATGCCAAGGGCAACATATTCCTAAACTGTTTTCATAAAAGCCCCATATATAAAATGACTAATATTTAAGGAGCTCATAATAGAATCCTGACATATCAGTGCTAGCATTGATGCAAGTTGGCATTGATATGTCAGCTGGATTTTTCCAAGTCCTACTTTTCAAATTTCTGATCGCTGCTAAAAAGGAAACATTCTCAGTTAAAATGAAATTTACAAAATTCCAATAATTTGATCATTTTTGAAGTGGAACATAAAAGTTTTATAAGGAGGCTGTAAACTAATTATGACAAGAACCCTGTTCAACTCCAAGTGACCATCTGATGTGGCTAGGTATAAGACAGTAGGCAGGTGAGGAGACTGTGCCACTGTGAAGTGAATATATCCTTTCAGTCACCGCTAATTTTTGGGCTGCTGCTTTGTGGGAAGATGGGCCCAGAGTAGCCAGACCTTCCAACTTTCCAGAAAAAGCCAGAAATTTAGGTTGTGTAAATCATGTTTTTCAGTGTGGCCCAGATAAACCCCCTTGGCAGGCTACATTCAATTCACAGACTGCCAGGCTATGCCTATGGATCTTGACTATCAAATTTTCTCCCTTATCTGTGAAGCTATTTTTCTCTGCCCCAAAAGAATGCATCACAGCACATCTTGGATATGCACAGGTACAGCTGAGTCAGAGCACTCATGAGATATTTTGAATTCCCATCAAAGAAACAAAAGACAACTGCAGACACAGCCTCATCTCCACACCTGGCTTCTCAAATTACACCCTGGAGTCCTGCTTCTTACTATGCCAGCTGGTCATAACATACTTTATGGGCCACTGTGTAAGTAATAAAATATAATAAGAGTTAATGACTCAAAGGATTTGTATAGCATCTTTGTCCCAAGGTTGTAATAGTCCTCCATGTGTATCTTATAGCTCTATAAGAAAGTAAGTGGAAAATAATCAAATTCTTTTACAAATGAAGATGGGAGGTGTATAATGAAGGTAGATCTAAGATCAAAATGCAGTGTTTCATTTTCAATTGACTTCTTAAAGAACAACTCTATAAGAATATCCCTACTACTGACAACAATCAGAAAAACACCTTATGAATGGCCTTATTTTCCTCTTGTGCAAAGCAGATGGTTAGTAATTACCTATGTTAATTTGATGATACTCGACTACATTAAAGGCTGAGGAGGGAGTATGTATGGAGGCTTCGAATTGGCACACGTTTGTTGACTGGCTGGAAGTGTATGCGAGAAGCTCATGACTTACTGAATAAAATCAAGATTTTCACATCTTTTAGTAGCTGATTCCTTTTTATGAGTAAAATTTTGTGTAGAACTCTAAGATTTAAAACAGGTAATAAGTGGGAGGAAGAGGTCTAAGAACTGCAAATTTTAGCCTTTTCTTTTTCCATCCCACCATCCCACTCCCCTCACCCCCCTCATAAAAAAACTTGCTCCTCCATCTTAGATGATCTTCAGGCACCTCCAAGGAAATTTTGATTTGGGATTTTAAAACCACTTGACTAAGTGGTCATTGTTTTCCTTTTATTCCTTGAGTCTTTCTAAGGTAATCACATGAGCAAATCATTGTATCTAAACTAAACGTCCACTTTGATGACTGTTTTGTTCCCTTACAGTTCTAGGAGCTCAGCCTTTGTGTTTTAATACTTATAATTTCCTTTTAAAAATCACATTACTACACTCTTTGCCAGTAAATTTTTAACACCTTTTGATAAATTTGTTATTCCCAAATAATATAATGGACTCCTGTATAGACATCATATATTCAGTATAATAAAACCATATATTATAATCAACAAGAATTATAATTTTTCCAAAAAAAATTTTTTTTTCCAATCTGGACTTTTCAAAATTTTCTTCTCACTTGGTGGTTAAAAATAAGATTTTATTTATCATAACTAAATGTCACTTTCGGTCACTGTATCTCTCTACTTCAGAAAAAAAAGGCATTTAAACATGCATAGGGGCTATAAAATAACCAGTAGGAAACTTTTTAAGTAAAATAGGTCAAGCTACTAATATAACACAAGTCACTAAAAAGTGTCTTTGATTACCACATCGCAAATTTAAGAGGAATGTATTATACTGACTTTGATTTTATAAGTACTATTCTGCCAAGTTATACCTTAAGCCCAAGAACAAAAAAACAAAGTTTTCAAAATAGTAACTGTCAATCTACCTGAAAGATCTTGAAATTCAGGCTTTTGGCTGAAGATGAGGTAGTTAGTGGCAATGAAATGAAGTAGCCAAGTTGAAAGGCAATCAGAGTGGTGAAACTGCAAGAAAAAGTGGAAAGTGAAACATATTGTAAAAATGGTCACCAGCACGATGATCAGACTGACAGAATGGTCTGGGAGACTTCACGGAGACCCAAATCTATGTAAATGTGTCTACAGATGAGGCAGCTGGCAGGCTACTCTGACTGCAGAAAGGAAAGAGAAGCATTATTTGCAAAAGGCAATAAAATAATATCATTCAGTGAGGAAACCAAATAACAAGTGAACAGCAAGTTACTGCTGGAGTGGCTGAATGGTGCGGTAAACAAGACCATTTGCGTTCTTGAGGTTTTACTTAAAGCTTTTATATTTTCCCTTTTTTTGATTCAACAATTTGTTATTATTGAGATAACATTGGTTTTCAATGTTATTTAAGATTTAGAGGTGAAGGAAAATTTAAGCTTTTAGTCTACAACCATGGCTATCAGTATCTCGACAGTATTTGTGTGAGGAGGGTAAGGCTATGGTCAGCAATGGCATACATGTGGCCGAATCAAAACAAGTTCATTAGAGGAAGATCAAAAAATATATACCAAGGTGAAAATACCATTAACATAATTGAAACTGAGTTTCAGTGTCTATTCCTAGGAGAAAGTTAAATCTGAACGCTGCTTTTAAGTGGGATGGACTGTTACTCTGAGCAGGGATTTCTAGCACATTTCCCATATGAGTTCCAGGTACTGCTAATGGAGAGGACACTAAGAGCAACTTGACTGTGATATTTTCACCTTGGTGTCAAGTGGTGGAAACACCACCACTGTTTCATATAACCACTCAATTCATATTAGAGCAACTTGCTTTGGTACATGAGTATGTAATTATTATTGTGATAAAATATACATAAAATCAAATTTGCCGTTTATGTCATAAGTACATTCATGTTATTGTACAACCATCACCATGAACTCTTTCCATTGCAAACTTAAACTCTCATTAACCATAGACAATTAGCAACATTAAACAATTAACAATATTAAACAATAACTCAACGTCCTTCCTATCCGACCTAGTCACCACTATTCTAGTCTCTCTCTGCTTTTATGATTCTAACTATTCTAAGTACCTTGTATAAGGTGAATTATATTTGTCCTTTCTCTGTCTGATTTATTTTACTTAGCTTGATATCCTTAAGGTTCATCCATGTTGTAGCATGGATTAAAAAATCCCACTTCTTTTTAAGGCTGAGTAATATCTACTGCATGTTTATATCACATTTTGTTTATCCATTTATTTGTTGATAAACATGCAGTCTGTTTCCATCTTTAGTAATGCTCTTTTAAGGGCACTCAAATTAAATCAAATAAATTTAAGGAAGGTATTTTATCTCAAGTCTAAAGGAAAAAACTCAAACTATAGGTCTTTAAAAAGTTTTAACATGGTATATTTTTTACATGTAAATTCACATGTCCCTCTTTCACTAGAGTGAGAATTCTTGAATCATGAGACTATAGTTAATCCTATCCATAATATACTTACCAACTTTTTTTTACTTTATCTTTTAGCAGATGAGTATGAGTGATCTCAAAAAAAATAATAAAGCAAGACCCTGCAGTTATTTTAACAGAAGTCACCAGTACTATTAAATGATTAATGCAGAACCAACAGATGTTCAGGACACTGCTCAAGGGCTGTGACTTTGAAAGAATAGGAAAGATCACAGAACTGAACAGTTGGCTAGAAAAACACAGTTAAAATGCCTAACTTTATTTTTAAACAAGATAAAAGGTATCATCATGTGGGCTCCTGGCAAAAGATAAAATGCATCTCACTGTGAGAAATTCTTTCTTTGTAAGAAGTATGTGCTGGCCTGAGTATAAGCTAAAATAAACAAAGAAGTAAAAGGCAAAAAGCATTAAAAAAAATGAAACAAAAATGAACAAATTCTATAACCTTAACAGGCTTGCAAAGAACTATAATGATGAAGAAAGTACCAGTAAACTCACAAGGAGTCAGAAACAAAACTGGTG